ACATAAATAAAAAGATGTAAACAAGTACATTACTGCTTCTTCTATGTCATATGGTAATAAAACAATGTAGTATTTTCTGTTCCTGACACTTCTACTAGAGAGAACATTTATCTTATTAGCGGAAAAATTTGGTTCTTCTTCAAAAATATCGTCCATGATTTGTTCTTGTAAATCAGTTATTCTGTTATGTTGTATTATAACGATTACATGTTTATGAGATTTGTCAAGTAGTTGTGAACTTGAAAATTCAATTTTGGAATAATCAATTAGTGATTTAACTTTGTATAGATTCGCAAAATTTTCATATTCTTGTTGTTAAGTTTCTGGAGAAAATTCAGTTTCAATAGTTTCAGCGTCTGAATTGTCACTATTCGATGTCAGAATTTTAACTTGTAATTTTGAGCATTCTTTGAAATGGTTAACTTTAATTCGTGATAGTGCATCTGCATTTTTGTTGATTTTTCCGGGTTTGTAAATAATTTCGTAATTGTACTCTTCTAATTTTAATCTCCATCTTGCAAGTCTGCTTCCGGGATCTTTTATTGAGAAAATCCATGTTAATGGTCTATGATCAGTACATAGCTTGAATTTTCTACCATACAAATAGGGTCTGAAATGTTTTACTGCCCATACAATGGCTAATAATTCACGTTCTATTGTTGAATATTTTGTTTCGGCACTACATAAAGTTCTTGAGGCATATGCAATTGGTAAATCTTTTCCAATAGGGCCTTGTGATAACACAGCACCTATAGCAAAGCTACTTGCGTCTGTTGTCAAAATAAATTCTTCTTCCATATTAGGATATATCAAGATAGGTGATTGGGACAATGATTTTTTCAATTCTTCAAATGACTGTTTGCATTCTTTATTGAAATCAAATATAATATCTTTTTGTAATAGTCTGGTCATAGGTTTTGAAATTTTGGCAAAATTTTGAATAAATCGTCTATAGTATCCTGCTAGTCCTAGGAATGATTTAATTTCTTTTTGATTAATTGGTTCTGGAAATTTAACGACTGCTTCTATTTTAGATGGGTTAGGTTTTACTCCGTCCTGTGTAATAATATGACCTAAGTAGGCTACTTCTTTGCATAAAAATTCACATTTATCTGGCTGCAATTTGAGGTTACAATTTCTTAGTCTTTTGAAAACGTCTGTTAGTCTGGAAATGTGTTCGTGAATGGTTGGCGAATATACAATTATATCGTCCATATAGACTAAACATTTTTCATTCTGTATTCCTATCAAAATGTTGTCCATGACACGCTGGAAAGTTGATGGGCTGTTTTTTAGTCCAAAGGGCATTCTTAGGAACTCAAAATGTCCGTTTTCGATTGAAAAAGCTGTTTTTTGAACGTCGGAATGATTCATTTCGATTTGATGGAAACCTGAGGCTAAATCTAAAGTCGTGAAGTATTGACATTTTCCAAGCTGATCTAGTAAATCTGAAATATTCGGGAGAGGATATTTATCATCTACCGTAACTTCGTTTAATTTTCTGTAGTCTATCACAACACGCCATTTTTGCTTACTTGATGCGTCAAGCTTCTTAGGGACTACCCACACTGGGGAGGACCAGGGTGAAATTGAGGGTTGTATAATTCCTTGATTCAACATTTTTGAGACTTGTTTTTTCACTTCTTCTTTGTGTACATGTGGATAACGGTATGACTTTGTAAAAATTGGTTTTGAATTGTTGGTGTCAATTGAATGTTTGATTTCATTCGTAAAGGTTGATTTGTCTTCCTCTAGATAAAATATGTCCGAAAATTCTAAACATAAATTTGTTATGTATTCCTGTTCTTCTTCGTTCAAGTGGTCTAAACGTAAGAGGTTTTTTATTTCGATTTCTCTAGTTGGTATTGACATACAATTTTCTGATTGATTTTCATTTATATTATAATTCAAAATTTGGTCATTTTTGTTGATTGGTTCTAGAATAATATCTGAAAATTCTATTGTTTTTGGTACTGAGTTTGGGTTCAAAATTGTTGTAAGAAATTCTCCTTTCTCATTGATTTTTACTATGGCATTTGGAAGTCGTACTCGGTCATTTTCTTGTGCTAGCAGTATAGCATAAGTGTTCTTTAATTTTGAGTATAATTTGAATACTTGTTCTACTCTTGGTTCAATATTTATGATGTTTTTTGTCTCGTTATGATTTTTTATTGGATTCAGAATTTGTTCTTCGTTTGATTCAACTTTGAATAAAGGTACCGTTTTGAAATTGGTAATCAGCTGTCTGTTTTTTATATCTACGATTCCTTCGTAATGTTCGAGGAAATCTGAGCCTAGTATTCCGTCGAATTCTATGTCGAGATTGTGAATAAATACTTTATGTGGATCGTTCATTGCGAATGGCACTAAAGTAGATTCTGTCATTTTAATTTTTTCGTCAGTTATTCCTGAAACAGAAATATTTTCGGGGGTTCTTTCCGTATATTTTTCTACTGTTTTTGGTTTGAAAATTGAAATTCCTGCACCTGTGTCAATTAGTATTTTGAATGTTTTAGTTATATCGTGGATGTAGTACAAATTCTGTGAACTTACTGTGAGACTTGATTTTACATGAACATTTCCTGTATCAATTTTAGGTTTTGCTGCGCGCGTTTGGATTTCTTGGGCAATGCATTCTGATTGAGAGACATCGTTCTTGTTTGCGTTGCAAGGTCGTCTATCGTTGAATGCTGAGTTGAGCATTCTGGAATTGTTGATTCCATAGGCGGGGGTTTGTCTGATTGACTGGTTAATTGAAAATTTTGGGAATGAAATTGATCTGGTACAATTTCATTTTGGTAGTTTGTTTCATTGTCAAATTGATCGTACTGATAATTTCCTTCTTGTAAATTATCATATTGGTGTATGTCACTGATCGTATTTTCGTCATAATATTGGGCATAGTCATTTCCAAAATAATTCTCTTGAAGTTCTGGTTGTTGGTCATAACCAGTATTATAACCTTGGTCATAAGCAGTATTATAATCATCAGAATCTTCGTAATAATATTGAGATGCATTATTTTGATCGAATCCGTAATTGAAATGATGTGTTTTCCTATTCAAATTTGGGTTTTGTTGTATAACGGAAGGTCTTTGCTGGTTAAAATTTGATGTTGAAGGTCTCTGCTGATTATTAAAATTTTGGTAGGTTTGTTGAGGTCGTTGGAAATTATTTTGATTGAACTGTGGTCTTTGAAAATTTGTGTTTGGTTGTTGAAAAGTTCTCTGTTGATTTTGCGCTTGATATGATTGGAATTGTGGTCTCTGATTTTGATTTTGATATGAATTTTGGAATGATTGATAGTTTGGTCGGAAATTCGATTGTGTAGGTCTAAATTGAGGTCTTTGATTTGGATTAAAAGTATTATTAATTCTCGGTTTCATCATTTGTCTTGGTTCGTTGGTTTTTTGCATTTCGAAATAGGAAAGTTGCATTTCTCTCTTAATTCGAGCTGCTGCTTCACTCACATTTACAGGATTACTAGCTCTGATTATTTGTCCAATTTTGGGTTCTAATCCGGTTAATAAGGTATTCATTGTCATATTTTCTATCAGAGTAATTTGAGCGTATTTCTGTTCTTGAGTTAAATTCGATTTGTGGACACAAGCTAACATTTTTGCGTTGTGCGTTTGCAATCTGGAATGAAAAGTTATGGCATTTTCGTTCTGTGATTGTCTCATACGCTGTAAATCTTGAATTAATGAATTTAGATCACGAGAGTCGCCAAAATGAGTGTTCAAAAGGTTTCTTATATCTCTGAATGATTCTGGATTTTTTGAATTGACTAGAATAGCTGCTCTTCCTTTCAATCTGTTTTTGAAATGAGTTATTAAAAGTCTTCTCTGATCGTTTGTTGCAAGTTGATAGGCTTGTTCTCATGCGTTTAAAAATGCGCCTAATAAATTAGAATCACCGTCGAAGTCTGGAATTAGCGAGAATAACTCAGATAATTTATACGGTTCAACTTCAGGTAGATTTTCATCGTCTGGCATTTTGGAAAATTATTTATATTACGAGGGGTGTGCTAAATTTAATACGAATACGATATACGAGGGGGATGTGAGCAATAGGAATCAATCGAACAGTATTATAGATGGTGAAATTCGAAAATTTGCAAAAAATTGAGATTCTATGTTGCTTACATGTATAGTATCCGCTGCATTGGATCGTTCGTCGTTCGTTGTCTGGAGCTCTCTGTCAGGGGCTTCACGAGGTGTTCCTAATCCACAGGAGACCAGTTTTCTTACTTGCTACTTGATTTCGTTTCTTGTTTCTTGTATTTTCTGGTTTCTTGCTTCTTGGGCTTGTTGCTTCGGTTCTTGGAACTTGAAGGTTTGGTCCACCACCCTAGTGAGGACGTCGCCGTGTTCTATTGATTTCAACCGCTGGTGAGGACCGTTTGCCGTGTTCCAACAATTGCCAAATCACTAGAGAGGACCGTTGCCGTATTCTAGGATGTTGAGGTATCCTACCGACTGCGCCAATTTTATATTTTTCTTTTCGAAAAACACTTTTTAAAAAATAACTTTATTTCACATCAAGATCAAGAACCATTTAGGTTACAATATAAAACAATATAAGTCGAAGTGACTGAAGTAAAGATTTGACCGGAGTGTCGCTCGTGGCTGATCTTCTTCCTTTTATAAGCTCGGTGTGCTGATGCAGAACTACGCAGTAGATCTTGCAGAGTTGCGGATCAGCATCATGAGGTTGCACTGATATCACCCACGCAGGATATTGCGTCTCAATGGATGAATGGAGTCATTGTCTATGTTTGATATAACATGGATGAAACCTCAGAAACTTATGATATAACATTTCAACTAAATGAAGAGTTGTTTACATTATCAATACCGAAGAGTGATGATGAGCAGCTTTTCAAATCAACAAGTAGGTATAACATTTGATTGGAAGTATTTTTCATTAATTTTCCAATGTTATAGATAATGATGGATACACGTCCGTCGAAATACATTATAGATTTAATCAAAAATGTTATGATTACTATCAAGGATCCACTGAGAGAAATATGTCGAGTTGAAGGAGGAAGGTGATATTCCTGAGATTCATGGTACTTATTCTTCCACTAACTCATTTTTTGCAGTCGTATCCTGATATATTCTGCCAATGAACCTTTTGATAGTCAAGTTGACACTGACGAAGTTGAATCAGAAAACTCACAAGAGGAAACGGCAGCCTCATTTTGTGATGTCAATATAAACCAACGTTGTGGTAAGACTATGTTTTTTACTTACCTACTTATATTGGATTTGAAAATAGTAGGTAGTTTATTATAATGAACATATGATATGGGTATCATTGATATTGTGGTCAAAACTTTATAGTGCTAGTCTTGATTTATGTACCCACCCATTTATTAATTAAAGTATTATTTCTAACTTGTAGAATGGAGTAATGGGGAAACAGGAATGCTACTAGACTATTATGAACAATTTATGTCCAGAGTAGGACCCATGAAAAAGTTCAAAAATAAGAAATCCATGTGGAGTAAGATTGCTGAAATTTTGAATGAAAAGTTTAAAATACAAAGGACACCAACACAGGTTGAAAATAGATATAAAACTGTGCTCAAAAGAAAAAAATGTGCAATTGAAAATAATAAAAGAAGTGGTTCTACTAGGATGGATGTGCCATTAGAAAGTGAACTAAGCAAAATCAATGCAATGGATGATAGTATAGAACCTGAGGTTATTGGAACCTCACAGGGCATAATAGTCCTCAAGCCAAGAAATGAGGAAAACATCCCAATAGTGTCCTGTTCAGCAACACCAATAAGAAAACATAAGACAATGCATGATACTCTTCTGGAAATACATGAGAAGAAAGAGGGAGCCAAAGAAAGACGCCTCAGAGAGAAAATGGAACTGATTAGAGAGCTCTTAGGTGGAAAAAATGATTAGTTTTCAATTTATTCATTTTTGTAGCAATCTAGTTTCAATTTCCCTTTCAGATGTGATTTATTTTTAGTTTGTTTTGTTTTTGTGCCTGGGTGATATTTGCAATACTCATTTTTGTAGCTATCTAGTTTGAATGTTCCTTCCAGATGTGATTTCTTTGGGTTTGTTTTGTTTTTGTACCAAAGTACATTATGTTCAATTTATTTATTGAGTTCAATATATGTGTACATAAAGTACACTTGTACTTAGTACAAGTGAGAATAAATATTTTGTTATTATGATTTTGAATATTTCAAAAAGTTTGGTCCCTCATTTCTAGTTATTATGGTATACTTGTGTGAAACAAAAAGCCACCATTGCCATAAATTTTGTAAAAACGAGTTATTTGCCTCTTCCAAAATTGATAATAAATCTATAGTCATGATATAAATACAGGGTGTCCCAGAACAATGTACATTAAATTTTACAGGGTGAACTAGAGCTGAACAAAATGTGAAATATCCATCTCCATGTGAATCGATTAGAATAGTATGACATGTCTTTCAAGCACATTGACAATAGTAAATCATACTTCGAATTTCATAGCAGTACTTCTCAACAAATTCGAAATATTCAAGAAAATCAAATTCCAAAATTATCCTTCATTGCCCTTTCACAGCTCAAGGGTGCATTTTTGGCCTATTTTCAGCTCTAGTTCACCCTGTAGAATTTAATGTACGTTGTTGTGGGACACCCTGTATGAACAGAAAAACTAATGGATAAATCAAAATTTTTATTAAAAGGTAAAATTGCATTTGTTACAGAAATTGTAACATTTCTGTAATCGCTTTCCTCTTTTCCATGCCTTTTTGTCTGAGATGCTCCTCAACTTCTCCATTTGGAACATCTTGTAGATCTGCCTCAGCTGGAAGGGCATCTTCATGACTCAGAAAATCTTCTGCATCTATGCACAAGTTATGCAGAACACAGCATGAGATGATGAATTTTGTAATTTTTTCAACAGAGAGAATATCCAATAGGGTCAGCTGGCGGAATCTTCCCTTAAGAATACCAAAAGTATTTTCAATCAAGACTCTGGTTCCACTGAAGGAATTTTGTTTGATGCTCACTCAATTTTTGTTGGTGTATTCTTTTTATGGGGTCATAAGCCATGTTCTTATAGAATATGCCCCATCTCCCAAAATGTGGTATTTGTTGCCACAAAATGATGGCAATCTTTCCAATATAGGTGAGAGCTTCAATACTCGTGCATCATGCACTTTTCCAGGCACTCCAGCAAAAACATCAATAAAACGTCTCTTGAAATCACAAATTCCTTGTAGAGTAATTGCTGGAGAATCATGGCGATTGGTGTATGTATTTTTCAGCTTATGTGCTGGTGTTCTAATATTTATTGATGTTCCTTCAATGCATCTCACAACTCCGCGAAATTTTGAAATCTAAAAAATGAAAGATAAATTACTGCAACATCACAGGAATTTAAGAGCAACATCAATCAATCAAATATGAATTGAAACCTATTTCTAGATCATAAAACTACAATAATAAAGATCTGATCTAATTTGGTTAAGTTATTTTTTTGGATAGGTAGGTACCACCTACCTTTTGGAATTCAGCTGAAAAAGTTTCTCTTTCCTCCTCATCTGGCATTTTTATGATGGTTGGAGCAAGTTCTAATAAATAATTCATAACACGTGTCATGATGCGGAATAGTGATGACTGAGCCATGCCAACCCTCAGAGACACATCTCTTATGGATGATTTATTTCCTGCAAACCTATGAAAATAAAAAGTTCATAATATGATTGATGGTTATAAGCTGTATGCTGTATTAATATGATGGGTGAACTCGACTTGGATATATGCAAGACTGCTCCCACACCAGTGAACTGTGAACTCAATATTTATATATTTACCATAAAAATGACAGTATGTGTGTCTCTGCAGATAAATGATTTCTGCCACCATGAGATGTGTTTTTAGGATAATATGAGGATTTTCTAAAATTTCCAATCAATGTGTAAGTTGTACGCCTCTGCATCCTGAAATTCTTCCTGAATTGCAATTAAAAATGATATATGGAAACCATAATTTTCACTTTTTCAATTAAGTACCACTTCATCATTAAATTGGTGCACAACACTTTCAACGAAATTTTGAATTTTGGGAACTAATCTCCTCTCATCCCTCAAAACTTTCAACTCTTTATCACTACTTGATGATGATGATGATAAGATTGCCACTAACAATTTGCCTTTCAAATTCAAACTATCCATTTTCGATATGTTTTCAATAATTTCAATAAATCCGCCATTTTAAAAACTGCAACCTGCACTGACTTGGCACGATCTACTAGAGCTCGTGCGAGAATTGTTGCACTGAGCTCTGAATTCTATGCATCAGTTTTCCAATGGATTTCAAAACCCCCCACCAGTTTTACCAATGGAATACAAAATATGCACTCAGTGCGACCCAGTTTTACCAATGGAATTTGCTATTACTATGCAGCTCTGGATGGCCACACCAATAGCATTCATTCTCATTTTGCTTAGATGTTACTTTAGATACTGGGCCCCTTTTTTGTGAAGGACCAACTGCATGATTCAATCCTTGATTTGATTTTCTGACAGACTGGTATCTTTTCACACCCACTGCGTCAACTGAGACAGTCCCACTTCGAAATGTTTCTTGTTGTTTTTTCACAGCTTCTGACTGTCTAGCAGTATTTACAGCTTCATGTAAGGTAAGAGTGGAGTCCAACTGCAACTTTTCTAAGAGAGCTTCATCGAGAATCCCCACTACCACTTGATCTCTGATAGCTTGATCTACGAACCCAGCAGAAAAATCACAGTTTTGAGCTCTAGTATGTAGCTCAGTCACGAAATCTTCCACACTCTCTCTCCTTCCCCCTGTTTTAGGGTATGGAAACAGTAACGTTCATATATGATATTCTTTGATGGTATAAAGTGACTTCGAAACTTGGTCAGCACAAGTGCGAAATTATCAACTTCTGCATCAGACAACTTCTGGTTTTGTGTCCATCCCCGAAGCACTTCTGAACCTCTTGAATCTTGACTTCCATTGTTCCCAGTCAACAGCTTTGAACGAAAATTGTTCAGGAGCTGGAATTTGATAAAGAGGAACTACAGTGTTCTGTTGAACTTGAGGCGTTGGCCTAGGGTCGGCGTTGTTTGGCATGATTTTCTCTACTTGAATTTCTTCACAGTACCAAGAAAATCACTTGAATCAGCTACGCTGCCACCATGTGTTATTATTGCTAATAAAGCAAGTTGTAATTACTCTAGGTTTTTTAATAAATCATCAGACCAAAACTACATGACAAACTGCTAGCAAGGTATTAGCCAACTAACTTCCTAACTAAAAAGTAAGTTAGTCACACATCTCCATCTATCAATGTCAATTGACACGGAACATAAAACATAAGAATCCATAGAACATGTAATGACAGATGGATGCTCTATGTGCATACAACACAGTACATTCATACAATATGCCCTCATGGATACAGAGCCTTTCATTTGGTGGCCTCATTCAGCCTTCACAAGAATGGACTACCCAAATTGAAAAAATGGAGAATTATTTTTTGAAATATCATAAAGATTCATTTTATACAAAGAAAAATGTAGTTGATAATACATCGAAATATATTTCAGCGAAAGTTAGAAAGCTCAACATTTCAAAAGAACTCATTCACTCCTTCTGCAAACTCAGACATTTTGTCCGTATCAAATATTTGAATTCAAAGAAGGAGGATAATACACAAGCCAGCAAAAGGAAATATCCTAAAATGCCTGGTGAGCCTCAGAAGCTTGCAAAAAAGATGAGAAAAATAGTTCAGTAATCAAAAACGAAGTAGATTTGAAAATATATTTCCATAGACGGCAGAATAGCGCAGTTGGTGAAGCGCTCGACTGGTAATCGGAAGATCCCCAGTTCGAATTGCCGGCGGAGCAGAGAATTTTTATTTATAAAACGAGTTATAAATTCTAATTTTCGTAGCCTCGGCCGGAGATGATTCCGCACGATTCACTGTTGCGTTCCAATTAGTAGGGCTGCTTCTAAAGTGGCGTATGGAGTCAGTAACAAAGCCTACATATCACACACATGGCTGAAGGACCGCTCGTACGTAAGGTCGATGGCCAGTTGGTGTGTACATACACATCCAACAAAGTACATCCTACTACTACTACTATACTATATTTCCATAACTATATAGGGTGTTGCAAAGTTCGAGGGACAATATTCACAGGTCGTGATAGGCTTTGTGATGTTATAACGACTAAGGTAGGGACATGAAGGTCTGAAGTTGAGAAATAAGAATTATTTTTTGAAATAACTGAACAACTCAACTAGCATTTTCAGTCACAGGCACCATGGATCAAGAAACTATTACCTATATTTAGTGATAATAACATAATTATCACTTATTCCAGAACTTCATAGTATAAATGTCAGTGATAGTTATTTAGTGAGTGAAAATTACGTAATTTTTACACTAGATAATGACTTCAAAGTGAGAAATTCTCATGGCTTATTACGAAGTAACTATTCCGAAACTGTCACTCCTCAAAACTACTATTAAGGTTTCGCAACTTTGGATATATTATTACGGTAACGCTTACCTCCCCAAGAGAGCTTCACAGTTGCAATTACTCTATGGTCACCAATTAGGTTTCTACGACGTTGTCGTTACTTGATCGATCACCTAATAATTTAGTCAATTCTTGGTGATATGTTAGGTAACATATTGGTAATTCCTACTCAAACAACTCCCAGTAAGTGATTTTCACTTTTCGGTAAATATATTCAGTTAAAGTTACCAATACATAGGTTATCATAACTGACGAGTTCCAAAAGTAACTTTCTGATTCATTTTCGATAGGGAGCCATATTGATTGATGTGATAACCATTTGAACAGAAAATAATTTTGGTTTTTCTTGTTGATAAACATCATTATATGAAGAATAATAGCATTTATTCG